TGCCATGGGGGGGGGGGGGGAAACAGACACAATAATGTTGGTGTGAGTTTCAACCCCAGAGCTGCCACTGACATTTCTGGCTCAATGAAGACTCATCTGTGGCTAGCTAACTGCAAGAGTGTGTGAGGTCCAGGCTACCCAGAGATCAGGAAAGTTGGTAGAGCCCTATTTTCTCCAACCCTCCTCCCTCATTACTCCCTACCTTTAAAAACCATTTTAAGATGCACCAATAAGAACTGGGAAGTGAGCTAGCTGGGTATGTATTACACACCTGTAATCCCAGCTACTCAGGAGGCTAAAAGGATCAAAAGTTTGGGATCAGCCTAGGAAATAAGTGAAAGACTTTGTTTCAAAATAAAAAGGGCTAGGGATGTAACTCAGTAGTAGAGTGTTTGCCTTGCATGTATGAGGCCCTGGATTCAAGCCCCAGCATAGCCTGGAAGTGGAAATAAGATATGGCTTAAACCATATTTTTTAAAAATATCTAGGAGTGGAAATGTAGCTCAATGATAGAGCACTTGCTTAGCGTACATGAAGCTCTTGATTTGATCCCTAGCACTGAAAAAAAATTTTTTTTTGAGAAGTATTATGTTGATTACTATGGGAGAAAAAGAAGTCCAAGATTAAGAGGCTTTGTTTTCTGGTGTTGGGGATGGAACCTAGGTCTCATGCTATGCATGCTAGGCAAGCACTCTACCAATGAACTACATGCCTAGGCCCAAGATTGAGATGTCATTTACATTTGTATTTATCCTCACAGTCAGTGCCTGGTGCCTAGTACTGGCTCAAGCGCAAGCTGGGGATTGAACCCAGGGCCTTTGGCATGTGTGATGCAAGCACTCTACAGAGCTATATCCCCAGCCCTCCTGCTAAGTATTTAACAATTGTTCAATGATAAATGAACCAAGTAAGATGCTGTCTTTCCCATCTTGATAGTTCTCAGCTGAAGGTAAACATTGCTGGTGCTTTTGTACAGAGGTAGAGCAGGCCCCTGCAGAAGAAGGGTACTTCACCTACAAAATGTGTCTTGGCATAGTTCTGGAGCATTTATTGGCCTCACAGATGCATTCCAATCACTCCTCTGATGTAGTTGTATTTTGCTTGAGACAGCCTCTATGTTGCTTGTTGCTTGAGGGAAACTTTGGCTATGGGACAAGGCTTACCTTCAGGCTGGGAAGAGGTGTGCCTGTTACCAAGTGTCCCTAGATATTGACCAGAAACTGCCTATAGTTGGCAAGGACCTAGGAAGGAACCCACTTTTGATTCCTACTTTTTAACATTTGGGGAAAGTAGTGATCTCAGGTTCCTCTTGAAAAGTCAGGACACCCTCTAAGACACATTCTCTTGAGCTGCAAACACAGCAGGTCTTCCTCTTAGAAGTACATTCTGTAGGGGGAGAAGGTGTACTCCTCTGGCCTCCCCTTGATTTCCAGCCCCAGCCCCAAGGCACTGGCAGTAGAAGCTAATTGGGTGCAAGGGGCCTGGGTAAAGGCTGAAGACTGGCAAAAGGAGAGGCAGCTCCGTTTTTTAAAAAGCTCTAATTGAGTTCTGAATCAGCCTCACTCCCTTTGATCCCTCCTCTGTTTCCCACACTGCCTGAAAGAGCTAGATCAGCACTTTATAACAAGGGTGCGCCTGCTCCCCACACCCGCCCCCCTTCCTGACGCTCTCTACTGCCGCCATCCACTACTTGTCTCCTTCAGTTAAGATAATGAAGATGCTGAGAGATAAAATGTGTATTTAATAAGGGTGGGGGTAGGGAGGCAGAAAGGGGCAGCCAGGACCTTCCCTAGTTTGGGGCCTCGCCAAGACTCAAGCTGAAAGCAAAGCTAGAGTAAGACTTGGCCCCAGGGTGTGGGGGTTTCTGGGCCTCAATCCAGCTGACTTCACTGCCTGCTGTTTGCCCTAAATTCCCCCACCTCCACCCTCTCACCCCCACACTCCTTTCTTTCTCTCCTTGCTCCCAATGGGAAAAAAGGAGCCTTGCTTCCACTTACTTTAGAGCTGGTAAGTTGGCCTTTGGTGCCGTGCCCCCTACCCCAGTGTCAGCTGCAAGGTCGGGCTAGGGCAGCCCTTCTAGCCAAGGCCTGTAGAAGCTGTGGGTTCACAGTGGGGGGTGAAAAAGCTGGAGTTAATGAAGACCAGCTGCTCGTCTGGGTTCTGCCTACAGCTAGCTGGAGGCCAGCCTTTGGTGGTGGTTAGAGGTGGGGGGGGGTTGGAGTGTGACCTCCATCCATGGGCACAAGGATATCCTGTGGCAGCTGGGCCTGTGCTACTCTCTGAGCTTGGTTTCATCCTTAGTTTGTAAGAGAGTAGTCTGTTTCCCTCTTCCCCTGCTCCTCCCCTCCCCAAGTAACACTCAGCCCTTATTGAGCTTTATAACTGTAGTGGTGGCCCAGCTGAGATCTGAGGATCTCCAAGTCCCTTTTGTAAACACTCATTAACTGCCTGGGAAGAACCAAGAGCCCTGTTTAACAGCTGGGAGAGAACTGAGGCACATTAGGGTGAAAGGCTTGACCTAAGTTCACCCCATGGACTCCACCCTGGGGCCCTCCATCCTTACTGTCTAGCTCCTTTCCCTAGTTCTTCCGGCAAGACAGAAGAGGTGGAGGCCTTGTTGCCCTCTCCCCTTCTAGGAAGAGGCCATGATTTCTCCCTTCCCTCAAGTCTGTC